TTGATTTGCAGGAATCCTCGTAATGACAGCTAAACTGCCCTCTTTCTGTCTCTCTTCATTTTCATCATCGTTACCAACATCATCAACTTCAACATCAACATCACCACCGTCACCGTCATAGGTATCGTCCTCGCCATCACCACTGCCGTCATTACCATCACCACCATCACCAATACCGTCGTCATCATAATCACCATTACCACTGCCACCTTTTTATCATCACCATCACCACTACAGAGGAAGCCACCTCCACAGTTATCATGATCACCGTCACCATCACCACTGTTATCGTCATCATCATCATCTTCCTCTCCCTTCTCTTTCTTTTTGTACTCTTTCATTTTCTCTTCTTGATTTTCAAGAACCCTTCTGTTGACAGTTAAAATGTCCTCTTTATATTCCACTTCACTCTCATCACCTACATCTTCCCCACTGTCATGACCTCCACTGTCACCATCACCACTGCCGTCATCATCATCATCATTATCATCACCATCTCCACTGTCATTGTCACCATCATTATCGTCGTTTTTCTTCTCTTCCTTACGGTACTCTCCCCTCTTCTCTTCTTGATTTGTGAGAACCTTTCTAATCACAGTTAAAATGTCCTTTTCATGCTCCACTACTTGGGTGTCATTTTGTTTCTTGTGATGTTTCTTGATGTTTCTTGTTATGTGTCTTGTGATTTCTTGTGATTTCTTGTGATTTTTGGTGCCAAGTTTCAAGAACACTGCTTCAATATTTTCTAGAGATATCGCTTATTCAGTATTTTACCATTTTTAGTTGCAAACAATATGACGTCCTCATTGCTCTAATTTGCATAATAGAAAACGTCAATATCTCTAAAACGAAAAAAGATATTTCAAAAAGAAAAATGCCATTCTTCTGTATTTTGAAAGGCCTTTCAAATGAGCAGAAATTATTTTTCATGTCATATGCACTTTGAAAAGTTTTATGTTTTGTATTAATTCTTTTGTCCTCGTTCAGACCTTTGGATTTTCTTGAAAGATATTCTATCTTCTTAACCTATTCGGTGGATATATTTGTATTTTCCTCATCCCCATATAAATACTGTCAAACGCGTTGCTCCACACTCCATGCTAACCGAAGAAGCTAAGCGTCCGCGCTCTGCACAACCCAGTTGCTATGCGACGGCGTTGTACACAAGCAAGTATCTGTGGGTTTTCATTGCGAGAGACAGATAGCTTGCAATGTTTATAAGATAAGGGTAATAATGACTGCTTGGGAGTAATCGTCTAGTTTATATCTCTGGCCAGTTCAAAGTATTAGTTCGTTCTCTACCTTTCCCCTGTTAAGTGGCTAATCCGAATTTAGGTTTTTTGTATTTTTTCAATAATTTAACTTGCCATAGTTTTTTTAATTGGAAACACTTACGGCCCCTAGAGGAGTGTTAAATGGCACTTTGCAATGGACTAGCATCCCAATCAAGGGGGAGTAGAAATGCCTCTAGTCACTTCGTGCCACAGACCAGGATAAGCTCCGGCCTGATGGACCACCTGGCCCAATGCAGACTTCTTTTAAAAAACGTAACATTTTTGTACTCGTAAAACGGACGCGCAAAATAAAAGTCGAGAAAAGTTCAACATTTCGAAAAAATTTTCACAAGACGGGTTATCTTCGCCACAAAGTCACTTTTGCAATCTATTTTTCTCTAATTTTTCTTACCTTGGTTTTATTCGTGGGGATTATTTGGTACGCGTAGGTCACGTTCAATATGGGTGGTCCATTCGTCGTTTCAACAATGTGTGTAAATTTGAAATACCTAACTTTTTCGCACTTGTATCCTATCGATAATGCGATTCTTGTTGATCAATTTTTTTTCCTTACGTTCACTATCACCTGAGTGACCTTATTTCCGTTTTAATTGAATTGTTTGTCCTTGTCATGTACACTTCGTCTGACATTATGGCACCTTTGTCGTCCTTTGAAATAACAAAACTCTAGCTTGTTCAAGCTCGCTAGCTGCTTCAACCTCACAAACGGTCAAACGACACAACAGATGCCATTGTTTCATCATATCTTCGAAACACTTTTCTCCTCGCGCTTGTAGCTGAATTTGCGCGCGCCGAAAGTTTTGCTTTCAAGTCGACAAAATCTGCTCATTTCCAATAAGTAATGCAAGACCGACACTTTGATCAACCTAGTTTTACAAACGTTACTGCACTCATTATGGTTTGTTTTGAAGCCATTCAAGGCAACTTAATCCAATATTAAGGTACAAGTTCAGTCACACGCCAGTTACTAACGTTCATCACAGTACATGCGTATTGCTCATTAGTAGATTAATTCAACTTGCACACCAATGTTGCAATCTAAGCTATCGTTAACCTGCATAAAAAACAAACCATCCCCCGAAAGTGACATTGTAAAATTGTGGCAGCTAATGAATCCGGAATGCAGAAATCCCCCAAAAGAAACGAGCCCACCCCACTCCCCTCCCGAAATTAGCGAGACCAGGGTTCAGTAATATATTTATTTTTCAAATCAATAGTCAAGGAAAAGTTGCGTATTGCAAATTGATAAATACCCGAGAAATACCAGAGGACAAACGTGGGAGCAAGTTCCAAGTAAAGGTTTGGGTGATAACTCTTTCCTCGTTATTAAGCGTGAATTTGCAGGGCTCGATGCATTACCCAAAGCCGCACCTTAGCTTGCTATTATATGACAGAAGCGCTAAAATAGCCCAATGACATAAGTACGAGGCTGGTATATTCATCTTTATTCAAGCCACTTAACAACAATAGCCAAAATTGAATATGCTTTTTTTTTTCTAGTGTAAGATAAGTTATTTACTAAGAATACAAAAACCTAGTTAGTACTCAGAACTCTGCAAAGGATGATAAAATCCGAAATTTCGTATTTGAGTTTTTGACCACTCAATCGATCTGAATCGTTCATTTACTAGTAGTATATCTTTACTTTGTACTTTCTAGAAATCTGTTATTTATTCTTAAAAACGTGTGTAGATCAAACTCCCACGGAGAAGTAAGTGTCGTAAAAGACCAAATCATATAATTGCTCTTTGCCGTTTTCCTCGATTTTACTTTGTAGTATGCCTACTGTTCTCAGAATACCGCTTTTACACGAAATAAATATCTCACTTTTCTGATAAAATAAATGTTTTAAGCTATAGCGATTATAGGCGTTATTTCTTTTCAGTTGACTGCAACCTCTGCATTACATGCCTGCCGTATGCTTAATTCCTGTAGAAACAATAAAACATTTCAAAAGAGTCAGTGCAACCAAAGACTTATTGAGTCTTCACTCAGTAAACTTGAGCTCACACTCTTGAAACTAGCGGCAGTTTACTGCAAGAGCGTAAACTCAAGTTGCCCGCTTTGGGATCACGTACACTAGCCTTAGAACAAATCATATTCAAGTACCAAGTTATTGAAGCCAAATAATGTAATAAAGCTAGCCACATTAATTCAATGCTGGACTTCAAACAAGGAGCAAAGACACTTAAACCATCACTAAGTTAAATCGGTTTTAGTTCTCAGGATCAGGAGTGACGTTGCTAATATCTGAAGCAAATAGAAATATCGCTTCTACCCCTGATGGGATGCTACTGTAGTCCATTACCCCCTNCCCCTCGCCACCACCACTACCCGTCCCCCAAGCAGAGAGAGGCATTGTGAGAGTTAAGTTTTTGGCCAAGAACATGACACAGAGAGCCGGCCAGTGCTCGAGCGCGGAGCTTTTACTCCAGAGTCCAACGGGCTAATCTCCAGGCAGCCATATGTTCCGCAGACCATCACTACTAGTGGTTTTGTAACCATAACTTACCCATGCATTCAGCACTGAAGTGACAGAGTACATTTCAGGCATTCGCTGAAGTCTGGAAGAGAGCTGCTTCTGAACTTTTTGAAGGAAAGGGTTGGCATCTATGACAGCAAGAGTATGAAGTTGAAAATAATTACTTTAATTCACTAGATAACTTTATTATTAAAAAGTTAGGTAATGAAATATTTTTGTGTATCACTTTTGATCGGCTGCAAACACCCAGTACGGTATATTATGATTGTAAAACGCAACACTCACCGTAATTTGCAGTTTTACACTCTGGACTAGAGTATGGGTAGTTCTGAGGAACACTGATTTCTATTGGTGGAACGGCTGGCAGATTCAGGTCATCTAAAACACAAAGGAAAATGGACTCA